TTTTTTTTTTCCCATACCAAGCAATTCTCCAGGATACCAATACTAGGTACCTTGTAATTCAATTCTCTACCTGGAGTTAGCATCAGATCCTCAAAATTAAGGGCTCAGTCCCACAAGACTGCCCCTTACTTCAGATGCCAGTGAGAAGTCTGGATTTCCCATATTTCTGACCAGCTACAAGTCAAGGATTCTGATGTACCCCTCTTGGGGTTTGACCATTTGCTCTAGTGACTGACAGAACTTAGAGAAACACTTTATATTTACTAGTTCATTAAAAGGATACAACTCGGGAGCAACCAGATGAATGGACAAGGAATAGATTTGGGGCAGTGAGCTTCCATGCCTTTTGGTCACCAACCTCCTTGTGTTCATGTACAGCAACCTGGAAGTTCACCAAATTTAGTGGTTCAGGAGTTTTTATTTACAGAGCTGAACCTCCAGACCCCTTCCCTCCTTCTTAGAGGTAAGTGGATGGGGCTGAAAATTCCAGCCTTATAATCTGGAGGTCTTTCTGGTGACCAGTTTCATCTGAAGCTGTGTATGTGCCCAAACCTAAGCCACTTCATTAGCATATGCTCACATAAAACCAAAAGGGACTCTTTAATAATGAAAGCTACTCTTGTATCAGGACATTTTAAGGGCTTTAGGTACTAGAGAGAGTGGACATGATCAAAGTATGATATATGCTATATAGAACTGTCACAGTGAAACCCATTAATTTGTAAAATTAATATGAGTTAATCATAATAAATATTTAAAAACCCATTGAAACTCATTCCTACCTCCCCCAGCTCCTGCCAACAACCATTATATTTTCTGTGAATTTGACTACTTTAGGTACTTCATTTAAGTGAAGCATATGGTATCAGTCCTTTTGTGACTGGCTTATTTCACTTATCGTAACAGCTTCAAGGTTCATCCATGTTGAATCGTGACAAAATTTTCTTTCCTTTTGAAGCAATAATTTTTCATCATATGTATATGTAATATTTTGTTTATCATTCATCCATTCAGGGACACTAGGTTGCTTTACCTCTTAGCTATATTGAATAATGTTCCATGAGTGTGTTTGTGCCAATGTCTCTTAGAGATTCTACTTTTAATCCTCTTATACTCAGAAGTGTAGGTACTGGATCATATGGAATTCTGTTTTTAATTTTTGAGGAACTATCGTACTGTTTTTCATAGCAGCTATACCATTTTAAAGTCCCACCCACATAATGATGTTTGGATAGGTCTTAATTCATTTTTGTGCTTCTTATTTAATGGCTATTTTATTGAGTCTTACACTTGACTGAGAGTAAATACTTAGTACACATAGAAATGAGATACTTTGCTTCATGGAGTGTTTGCATAGCAAGGATGATTCTGCGGGATCCTCAGGGTGTTAGCTAAACATTTTGGAGGCAGCTCTTTCAGTTATAAGTAATAAACTTTACCTGTAGTTTAAATAAAAAGATTTTATTGCAGAGAAACTGTGTTAAGTCATATTTAAGTATAGTAATGTGACAGGCTTGAAAATGGAACTTGAAAAGTCCCAGGGTAGTAGTGTCAGAATGACTGGAGACAAGTTAAAAAAAAAAGTCTGACTGATTTTTCAGTATTAAATTGAAGGCCACAAGAGAAATTGCCTGAAATTCTTAAAAGTCATAAAAGATAAGCAGTGACTGATTTTTGGAATTATTTGAATTAGAGCACTTTTTAAAAATACCTTAACAGTGCTATTTGGTATAAAAATGGAAAAATATATATTGAAGAGCAATTAATTAAGTTTTATAATTCACTCCAAGAAGCTTGCAACTATGTTAGGGATTTAGGAGACAAATTGATGGATGATAGCTATATAATGGGGGCATGTATAGGATATTGGAGTATGGCCTTAACCTTCTGAAATTATAGAAGGAATTCTTTCCACCATGAACCATTAGTGATGAGGATAATCATGATTTATTTAGCATTACTGCATTTCTGGCACTGTGCCTCATTTAATAGTCCCTAAACCATGGGTGCGCACTGTGTGTTCACTGAATTTTTAAGGTGTGTTTCAGCGGACTGGTTAACACTCTCTTTTTCCTTTCAGAGATGTGGTACTGGATCTTCCTCTGGGCTCTCTTCTCCTCCCTGTTTGTCCACGGTGCTGCAGGTGTGTTGATGTTTGTGATGCTGCAGAGGCACAGACAGGGGAGAGTGATCTCGGTCATTGCAGTCAGCATCGGATTTCTGGCCTCTGTAACTGGAGCAATGATTACTAGTAAGTGAATTGTGTGCTGTTTAAGGACCTAATTTTACATGCATTTATCACTTTGGTAACTATTCTTGCTGTAAATGAAACATTTGGGTAATCTTTAATGTAGAATATTTTTCAACAGTTTATACACTGCACCTAGAAGGTAAGAGTGAGTTCATTTACTCATTGAACAAATATTTTACTATGTGAAGACTCACAAAGCTTTATGGAAAATAGAAAAATTTGCAGGGTGCCAGTAGCTCACACCTGTAATTCTAGCTATTCGGGAGGCAGAGATGAGGAGGATTGTAATTTGAAGCCAGCCCTGGGCAAATGGTTCATGTGTCCCTATCTTGAAAAACTCTTTCACAAAAAATGGCTGGTGGAGTGTCTCAGTGATAGTGTACCTGCCTAGCAAGCATGAGGCCCTGAGTTCAAACCCTAGTACTGTCAAGAAAAAAAAAGAAGAATCTGTAAAAATTGCCAAGAGGCATAACAGTTCAATGGGAAAATGCCTTATAGTAAATTAGCTTCTGCATTAAAGGCTTTCATTATCTAGTAAGGAAGAAATGTGGGCACAAAATATGACAATGGTAACTGTCATTTGAAATGAGATATAAAAATATGGCCCTTAGGTACTTGGTGTCATCTGCCTGTGACTACAATGTGTAATTGCAATTCTTCTTTTACACAAGTTATTATGACAGATCTTTGATTCTTTCGAGTGTCCTCTAGTGACCTGCAAGTTTTCTGCTGTGCTGCTTTATGCATTTTCTCACTGGTCCTCAAGTTTGTTCCTCCTGGTCTTCTCCTGAACTGAACTTAGGCCCACCTCCAGCCTTGGCATCAAAGTGTTCTGGTTTCTGTGGCTGCTGGTCAAGCATAACTTAGATGCATCCTGTTGAGACTAGAGAGTCCATGGCTGCTTTCTTAATATGCAGCACCTAGCTGCTTCCTTCTGCTGCTATTGATCATGTGCCTATTGTTGCACAATGTTGTGCTTATTTCTGGACAGCTTCCATATGTCGGGGGCAGCTCACGGCCACCACTCGGATCTGTTTTGGGCTGGACTCTCTGTGGCCCTAAGATGACAATCATAAAATACTTGTGAGAAATAGTGAGTAGTCTCTTTTCTCACCCCTTCTTCATTCAAAATTTGGTATTTCTGGGATATCTTACTAGTTTTTGTAGTTGATTTTGTTGCTTTTTGCATTTAACCTGTAACTTTATCATATGGTATCTCATCAGTATATTATAGGTAGGATTTTAAGCAAAGCCTTGGGTTCAGCAAGCACAGGTGATATGTAAAGTGGGTGGGGAGGATTCAGCTGGAAAGAAAAAATGGAGCCAGATCCGAGAGGGCCAGCCAGAAAGTTTGGACTTTGATCTGTAGGCCATGGAAAACATTTTTTAGTGTGGTTGATAAGAGACAAAGCAGTTTAGTGGGAAAATTTGTTTAGCTGAATATATTAAGTATGTAAAGAACCAAGAGAAAACTCTGAAAGAGCAGGATCTTGTCTACCTTTATAGCAGTTACACCTCCAATAATAAGACTACCTGGAACATGATAGATTCTAGAAGAATATTGTTTGGATGGATGGATAGATGGATGGATGAATAGAGTGAGTGAGAGAAAAAGAAGGAAGAACAGGGGGGAGGAAGGAATGGCAAATAAAGGGGAATGAAGAGGCATTAACTAGAATCTAAGCTTGAGATCAGGATCTGAGCTAGAGTAATAACTATGGGTAAGGAAGGAAAAAACTAATATAAGAACTATGGCAAAGGAGAAGTAACCCACTTCAAATTAGTTATTAGTCACTATGGACAATGAATAACAGACATTGAGGGGGCTGCCAGTCGGTTGTACTGTTGTAGCTGGTGAACTGAATGGAGGAGGAGAGAAGGTGCAGCTTGCTCTGAGTTGCAAGTGGTATGCACATATGTACAGTATTGTAAGATTTTCAAGAAAGCATGAAAAGTTAATTCTGCTTCCATTTGTCTCTAATGATGTAATATGTATATATAACCTACTTTTAGATCACTCAAGAATAAAACAAACCAATGATTTTAGAAACTATAATGTTATATTTTAAAATTCTTATAAAAATGGTAAAATTTGAAGTGAAAATTTGTTCCCTAATTAGTAATAAAACATTTAAATTTCTCGTGACTAATTTTCTTACTTGCCAAAGACTCGAATTAAGAAAACTAGTCCATATGAATATTTGGCTGTATTTCTTAATGCAAGTTGTAAGTACTACCTCACTTATAGCTATATTATTTAGCTCAGCCTATAGTTGCTAAATATCCACATCAATAAAATGCTGATGAAATATTGATACAGATTTGTTATATTTGCTACATCTTAGATTTTATTTCCAAGACTGATTTTTTCCATTTTAATTTGTACTGATAATTAATGCCAGAATTGGTAAAAATGAATTTTCTGTGCCTAATTTTAGCCAATCTGAAGGTATAAAGTGGCATCTCTGTTGATTTAATTTGTATTTCTCTGATTACTAATGAGATTTAACATCTCTTCCTATGCTTATTATATATTTAGGGTTTTTTTCTTTTCTCCTGCACACCATCTCTTTAAATTGTGTGCTTTTATTTGAATTCTCTTGTTTTCTTCACATATATAAATTATGAGTGTTTCTTATATATTAGAGATAATAGTCTCTTATTGGTTGAGGGTTTGCAAATAACTTTTCTCAGTCTTTATCAGTTATCTTCATCCATGGAGTAATTTATTGAGCAGAAGTGCCTAATTTCAATGTAATTAGCTTACAGAGTTTTTTGTTTTGTTTTTAATTTTATGGTTTATAATTTAGAATTTTATTTAAGAAGTTCTGTCTCACACCAAGATTAAAAGATACTCTGATATGTATTCTTTGGTTAATTTTATAGTTTTACCATTTCTATTAGAGTCCTTACTTCATCTAGAGCAGGAGTCACCAAATATTTTCTTAAAAGGGAAGGTAGTATTTTTGACTCTGCAGATCAGTGGCTCTTCACTTCTGCCATTGGAGCATGAAAGCAGGTATAGACAGACCAAAACAATGGAGACTACTTGTTGCAATAAAAACTTTATTCACAAAACAGACTATAATTTACCCACTGGTCCAGAGGATACCTTTGTTTTTGGTACTAGATGGAGTTCTGGGTGGGTTTTTTTTTCCCTCTCTCATATCATAAGTCAATTTTTACCTTACTATCCACTGAAAAAATTAATCATTTTCTCATTGATTGACAATGCCATCTTTTTGTACATTGCATTCTCATTGTAGGGCCATGCTTTTTTTTTTATACATATATCTCTGGTTTTGTAATATGTCTAATTCACGGCTCGTTCCTTCTGGTTACTTTTCTTAAAGTTAACGTAACTGCTCATGGACCTTTATTCTTTCATATAAAGTTTAGAATATGTCTGTTGGCTCACTCAAAAAAGTATGACTGATTTTTATTAGGATTTAATTGGATGTAAAGGTTCACTTGGGTAGCATGGGTGTATTAAATTATGCCACCCAGGATCGTGTTAATACATCTCTAGTTATTGAGATCTTCTTTGTCATTTATTAAAGTCTTTTATTAGAGTTTAAAATACTTTCCTCACTAGGAAGGTTGTATATTTTTATTAAGTTAATTCCTGATTACTTACTGTCTTATAACTTATTCATGGTATCTTTTTTTATATTTTTAACCTTATTGGTGTGGAGAAATACTATGAAGTTCTGTAAGTTGTGTTTATGAAAGGTTAATAAAAACTTGTTCTTTGAAGAAATGAGATGACTGCTGACAAACTAAAAAGAAAGAGTTAAGTCAAAAATAAAAATGTGAACTAGTAGAAGAAATAACTAATTTTCAGTAAGAAGGATAAAACATCAAAATTAGTTTTATGAACTACATTATTAATATAAAAATTGATATAAAAGAAATGGAAAATATAAATAGAATATTTTTATAAACATTTGAAATGTTAAAGGCCCTTTCTTTCAAAAATATCCAGACTTAAATGGGGTTTATAGGACAGTTCTACCAGATTTTCAAAGAACAGGTAGCTCCTTTTTTTTTTAATCCAAACCATTACAGAAAATAGAAACAGTGAAAGCTGTGCACAGCTTATTTCTGAGGCCAGTGTAAGCCTGTTACTAAACAAGTTAAAGACTGCCCAAGAGCAGGAAAGTGTAGACTCATGTATGTTGTGAACATTATTCCTGGAATTACAAAAGATAATTCAATAGGAGACAGGAACATAGCTGTATTCTAATAAAATATGATGTATGGACACTAAGATTTGAATTTCGGATAATGTTTATGTATCATGAAATGCTCTTCTTCAGATTTTTTTCAACAATTAAAAACATCATTCCCAGCTCACATGTTGTACATACCCAGGTAGTAGGCCAGATTTGGCTTATGGATTATAGTTTGCCCAGTCTTGATCTAACTACACAACTCGAATGAGCACACTGTCAATATGAATTCTGCCTTTCCTGTATTATCCATTATCTGTCAGGACATGTTTCATTTTTCCTTAGTGTACCCTCTGCAGGTACTTTGTGCTACTAGAGAGTGATATTTTCTACCTACTATGTCTCTTCTCCCAGCCTAGGTGTACATCTCTCCCTCAAACTCCCGCTCTGCTTTTTCCACTTCATATTCATACCACCAGTCTTCTCTTGACCCTGAATACTTTTGGGATTTTCCAGTTATTTTAGTGGTTCTTTCTGCTATTGTTCACAATAGAAGCTCCAAACATGCATCATTTATTTCAAGCTGCCATCTCACTTTATATCCTCTTGATTTTTGCATATCAATTTAGCTTCATATTTCACCAAGAAAGTAAAGATCATAAGTATTCTTTTAACTGACTATTGTATAGCAAAGGTCTCCTTAGAGAGTGAAAACTAAAGCATGGCATTGAGGAAAATATTTGTTAACATATCAATTAAAAAAGATTAATACTTAAACTATATTGTTAAAAGTTCTGAGTCAAATAAGAAAAAGATAACCCAATAGAAGAATGGACAGAAGATTTGACAAGCATTTCATAGAAGTAGAAAACTTAATGGTCAATAGTACGTGAAGAAAAGCTTGATCATATTAATTATTAGGAAATTATCAATAATCATACAGAGAATATCTCTAACTCACCAGATTGGGGGAAAAATATACTAACTTGCTTCTGAGGCTGTGGGGTTCCTGGTATATAAATCAGTACAACTAATTTGGAAAAACAATTTGGCATTGCCTAGTAAAGTTAGAAATGCCTGTACCAGAGGGCTCAGCAATTCCACTTCTACCCATGGATCATGAAGAAACTCTTGACAGCATTTGTGTGCCAGGGGCTGAGATCAAGAATATTCATGGGAGCAATGTTTGTGATTGTAGAGGATTGGGAACAAATGTTATTGGCAGTAGAATGGACAAGCTGTGGTATATTCATACTTTTGTAATTCTATATGGCAGCAAAAATGATTAAATTATACCTACATACAAGGGAGTTTATTTCCAGCTACTTAAAATCAAGTATTTAGTGAACTTTGTCATTGTATATATACAAATATTTTTGTTTGAAAGATGTTGGCCTTTAAAAATGAATATATCTTGGCATTGTAGGGAAATTTAGGCAAGTTAGATATACAAATTAAAGTTTAAAAATGAATTTTAAGTAATATATGACTATATTCTCCATGTAAAACTTAAAATATGGATAAAGAAAAGTGTTTCTGACTAGCACTCCAAACTAGTGCTATTGGAGTTTGGTGTGTATTCCCCAGATTTTCATTTATGCATTACATTCATACACACACATACATGTATGCTTGTACTGATAGGGAATGCATTTTGTTTTATGTTTTATTTTCCTTGTTGAATAAATTGTATGCCTTAAGTTCTTTCTATGTCAGCTCATAAGGAGCTATATTTTCCTTTTGAAATTATATGAATTCATGGTATAGATTTTGTATAGCTTACCCATTTTTCCAATTAATGGGAAGTTGTTTTATTTGATTACAAAAAGTGCTGAACTCATTATTATTTGTGTATTTATGTAAGCAGATGTGTGTCTATATTCTCAATGTAAATCATCAGTTTGCTGTGCATACAATTTTTTTTTTTAGTCTTTGGATGTCAAACATTTATAGTTTTATTCTCTTGGAGTCTTAAGATCTATCTTCGGAGGATGCTAAACATATTCACTTATATTCTAAAGTTTACATTTGTAGTTTTATTTTTACCATCTAGCTCTTTAATCCATCTGAAATTTATTTTGTGGAATGTTGTGAAGCAGGGACCTAAATATATTTCTTCCACATGGCTGCCCAATTTTTCCAACACTGTTAAGTGGTGAGCCACTGGTTAGAATTTCCTTTATCCTTTACCACTATGACATCTACTAGGCAAAGTACTAAGACCATACACTGTTCCTAAGCACTTTATGGTATTCTCTCTTAATCTTCACACTCACCCACTTTACATTTATTTTATATTTGAGGAAGCAAGGCATTAGGGGTTAAGTGATTGCCCAGCATAACCAGTTGCTAAGTAGTAAATCTTGGATTTTAGTCCATGAGTCTAGGTTCAAAACCCAGGCTCTTAACCTTTATAAACTTGGGAAGTTTGAATTGACAACTGTATTTGACATATCCCAGTCAGCCTGAGCTACTAATTGCTGTGACTTTCCTTTTCTTGGATCATAATTTAAAGCTCAGTGTCAGAGAGATGGAGGCCAAATGTATTTTTTAACATTGACGAAAATGTAATGTAAATCCAAGGAAAAAACAGAGTGTTGTTCCTCGGGTTTATTTTAACATAATTCATGATAACACAGTAAGCCAAAGTTCTTTAAAATTTTTTAAAATGTCATCCAATTCTAAAGTTTAGGTATATGACCAGTTATATAAGTACTTGATTTTATTACTTGGTAAATGTTGGTGCCACTAAGAGTTTTATTTAATATTGAGATTATGATCAGTGGCTTGGTTATTTTTTAAAATCATTCTTTTTCACTTAACATAAATATGAAATGATACTATGATTTGGGGATTTGTAGCCAGATGAGGCTGCTCTTTTACTTGCTGTATTTCCTTGGGCCAGTAATTGAATCTCTCTGAACCTGTTTTCTGTCTTTAAATTAGGTCATAACAGTGAGGGGGGAGGGATAGGATATTTAAATAAGAGAATGCTTGTAAAGGTCCTTGCAAGATCTAGTGTGTGGTAAGTATACTGTCTTAATTTGCTTTTATTTGAAAACATGTATATGAAAGCCCTTGGCATAGATTTGTTTTGGATGTTTTAAGTAAATTACAAAGAATAAATCCCAAGTTAAGTTGTTCTTAAATTGACAAGTAAAAGTGATATCCTTAGCTAATTTTTATTAATAGGTTTCTGTTGCAAGCAATTATCAATTCAGTATTTTTGAATAATTTATTTCTGTTCTCTTTATTTCCTTTTGTTTAACGATTCTAGAATATGTAGTAGACAGGTTTTTTTCTACAGAAATAGTTTTAAGAACATCTCAATATGTGAGAAACCATATCACAATTTAAATATTTCCTTCTTTGTGATTTCTGAATGTCCTTTTTAAATTAGACGCTTAAATGCCACATCATTCTACATACTGTGCTAAGACGAAGTGTTGCGGGTAGGCACAGAGCTTCTTCATAACTCAGGCTCGTTGTTCTGGGAATCCAGTATCTGAACATTTTTTCCTAGAGGAGACATCAAGTTCACTTTTCATTTTTATTAATATTAAGATAGTAGTCTACAAATAACTTACATGTATCCGTCATTAAAAAGTTCAGTAAACTACTGTTTTACATGGTAGATTATAAAATAGGTTAGTCATGTATTCTTATATTTTACATACTATTTGAAAATTTTTTCAAGTAAATAAGATATCTTTAACATTAAAATATTAATTGTTAAATTATATAGCTTTTCATTTATAATCATCTGCATATTATGTGGGCATATTTATAAGCAATCTGATGAGGTCTGGGCAGTTGAATGCTCAGGGGAGGTTTTACGATAATGAATTATTGATTTTTCAGGAGCATATTTGGAATTGTGATTGCAGTCTGTACCGTCCATATGTATCTATTAAGGGTGGGTGGGGTATTGTGTTGTGACAAGTGAGGTACGACCTTCCTCTGCAGCACAGGGGCTGCGCAGTGAGTGACTGTCCCTCTGCTTGTCATGCAGGTGCTGCGGTGGCTGGCATATACAGAGTGGCAGGGAAGAACATGGCCCCTTTGGAAGCACTGGTGTGGGGCGTGGGGCAGACCGTATTGACATTAATCATCTCCTTCTCAAGGATCCTCGCTACGCTCTGAGGTTTCTGAGGGAATGTCTAAATTCACACAAGGACGCAGATGTACAGATTCCCTGAAAATGGCATTGTTAACAAGTGGAAATGACATTGCACAAGAGTGTGGATGGACTCAGCAAGTCAAAACCCAAGGAAGAAGTTGAGCTGTTTGGAAAGCCTGCCCTCTGGCGTTCACTGATTGCACTACTGCACTGCACCTTACGTGCCTCCATCCCAGGCAAGGTGCACTAGAAGCTATGTGAAGCTGCAAGAAAAAGCACCTTGTTTAGCTGCCATTCAGGTTAACATTGGTGTTGAAATCATCATTCTCAACAGTGTTGTGTTAAGTTACAGGGACGTTTTGAGAAATTGACATATGTGCCAAACTCTCTTCTTTTTGTTAACATTGATCATGTGACAATTTGCAGTATAGATGTAGCCGAGTGCTGTGAAGACATTTGACACGAATTCAGGTACTGTAGTAAAATCTTTGTTTGTAATGCTAAATCCCACA